TTTTTTTTTTTTTTTGGTGCGTGTGTGTGTGATATGAAGAATATTTTGAGAGGGATTGGTGGATGTTTAGGGCCCATGCTTTGAGAAAGCATATTCTAAAAGGATTGAACTATTAGACATACATCTACAATCTAAAGGAATACTGAACTACAAAGGAAAGTGAAAAATCCTACACAATTTATACTATTAAAACGAGTCAAACTCACGAGCGACTCGTAAAGGTTCGAAAATCGAATTTTTTATATATTATTTTTATAACTCGGCTCGTTTAAGAAACTAGTCGAGCTCAAGTTCATTATGTTAGTTAATGAGATGAGCTCGACTCCAACTCGAGTGTCTTGAGCTCAATCTTGCTCGGTTCTTTTCCACCCTTGTGAAGAAAGGAATATGAATTGTGGTTATTTTAGTTTAAATGCAAAATATAAATTTCTTACGTTGGGCTTAAATGCACGGCCCAATAACTCTTCTTACCCTTCTAATCGAAGTGCAGTTTTTTTATGTAGCCCAAACGAATTTGGGCTGTGCCATATAGCCTAATAATCCATGTGAACGCCGTTGAGAACATACAGTACTAACTGTGGCCTTGAGTGTAGACAGGTACAGAGTGCGCTAGAGCCTCAATTTTTTTTAGTCAAAATCTAGTTTGCTAATTTATTAATTAATTCCTATGTTGACTTTATAAATGATTTGGAATTTATATGTTAAAAGAAAAATAAAATAACTTGAACGTATCCTAAAGTTAGGGTTGGAGGGCTCAACCATGCCTATATATACCACTCATTTGAAGTAGTAACTATTAAATATTGGCTATAGTTCTTAGAGTTATTCGAACCGAGTCGAGTAGCTCACATTCAAGATATTGCATGTTTAATAATCGAGTTGGCCTGACTCGTTTAATAAACAAACAAAAGGCTCGCCTCCGTTAATTTCTTGAAAGCGCGACTCAGTTCATTCAGTAATCGTAACAAGTTTTTCCCGAGCGTGAAATATTTACAGACAAACAAGTTTATCTCGACTGTTTCATTAAAACCATTATAAATTTTGTCGATAGCAAGCTCGTCTTTACTCGTTTAATAAACATGTCGTGAGCTTGAGTTTATTTGAGCTATATCGAGTTGTGTTCACGAACAATTCAATTTCCGCAAAGTCGTTAAACAAAATTGTTAATTGCCAACATTATTATTATTATTATTATTATTATTATTATTATTATTATTATTATTATTATTATTATTATTATTATTATTATTATTATTATTATTATTATTATTATTATTATTATANNNTGATTTATTGTCACATATTTGGCATGGTTAAAAAAAAAAAAGAGATAAAAATTCAATACATTTGTTTTATTTTATTATTTGTTACACGAGATAAGTCGTTCACACGGTTCAGCTCGATAAGTTAAACGTGTTGATCTTGAACTTGTTTAATTAAAAAAAAAAAAGCATTATACGATTCGTTAAGCCTGAAGTTTGACTCGTTCGACCTCATTTTATCAATTCATTTAGTTAATTAATCAAGCTCGATCGAGTACCGAAAAAGCGCGCTCGACTCTTCTACAACTTCTACAATAAACCTATGTATGTATGGTTTATGTACATGGTAAAAGTCTAGGTACACACTTTCAACCTAATTGTATGTAATTTACTAATTTAACCTTATAGCTATTCTATCTACTATACACATAGCCTGCACACTGCACACACATGAAAAAGGAAGATTAAAAAAAAAGATTGCAATTTGTAAAAGCTGTTTGAGATTTAGATGCCAAAAACATGTTTCAATCTCCGCAGCTCATTAATTGTAGGCTCCTCGATTTTTTCACACTCTATTGTGTGGTTCTGTGGGGGTAATTAGGGGAATTAACAAAAGGGGTTACAAGAAAAAATATAATAAAATTAGACTATATATTTAGCAAAAGTAGTCAATTTTAATGTCTTCATGTGCATATAGTAATATTAGAAACAATTAATTTGGTGCATTAGAAATTAGAATACATTTTTTTCAACTTCAAAAATTAAATTAATAAAATCATTATACAATTATATATGGGCTTGCAATTTGAAGGTTAATTATTATATAAATACAATTTGGGCTTGCTTTTGTACATATCCAATACCAAGAAAGAACCCTTTTTCCCTACTTTGTACAAAAGTGTACATATTGGAAATGCTAAGTTCTCGTTACGAAATTATTCCGTTGAAATTTGTAAGGGCAATGCTATATGTACACCCCCTTTTAATAAATTACACAAAGAAAAGTGCTATATGTACACCCTTTTTTTACACACAAGGGGGTGTACATATAGACACCCCCATTTGTAATCGTTATATCACAATGTAACCGTTAGAAATAGTTGATCTAATGGTTACAAACTCCGACGGAATAGTTTCTTAACGGGACTGTAGCATTTTTCATAATTCATTTAATAATTTAAGGTCTTTAATAAAAAAAACAATACAAAAAATTTAACAATATTGGGACTAGCTACTTAGTTCATGTACTATGTTGGCTTACGTGAACCAGAAGACTGTTTATATTTTCTAATGGGGCCATGAGATTAATTTTGCAAACCCAAAAAGACATTATTAAAATAATAAAAACATGTTATGTCGTGACAGAGCTGGCAAAAGGGCCAAATATCAATAAAAAAAATAAATAATTAGAGATGTTTTTTGTCAACGTAATTAAAAATTCATGATTAGACAAAAACTGATTTTCATTTATTTTATATGAAATATATATATCCTGATTATATTATTCAAATCCTCTGTACATTAATTCCCTTTATTGTCTAATGGTTCTTATATAGTGGTTCTATTATGTGATGCCTCAAGCTTATTTTCAATGTATCAATTTTAAAATTTTATTTTATTTATTTATTTATTATTTATTCACATGGAATATTCTAATAGTTTTTGTTATTTATGACGTGAACCCGGCAATTATATGACGTCAGATCATATTTGTTAGGAATTTTTCATCAGTTGTTGTGATTTTTAATTTTTTTTTTTTTTTTTTTGGAGTTCATATTAATTCAATGTAAATTTGGGCCCTGATCAGCAAATAAATATGAAATACATGTAAATTATGTACACAGTGTTTAACACTGTTTATAGTGTAACAGTCAGGTTCATGTGAAGAGTACTCAACAGTACACTCTCTCTCTCTCTCACGTAAATAATAAATCCCTATGAAACGACAAAATTAACGGACCCAACACACAGCAAATATCTATCGGATATATAATTGAATCCAATTTATATTCTCTATCCTTTTTTTTTTCAATTCATATAATTATTGAAAAAAAAAAGTAATAATAAGTAAATCGTATAGTATGGATTGACTTTCAGTTACGTGTAAGCATAATATTCCATCCAACTTTACCCCTAGCTACCTATAATTTTTTTTCTTTAAATAAAAACACTAAAAAAATACTATTAAACTCCAATGAATTAAAATTAGTATAATATTCTAGCAGATCAATTAATATATTTTTCGTTCAATCAACATTAAAACCTTCCCTTAAAATTTTTTGATTCGAAATATATTCCAATAGAGTTATTCTAGCATATATTTCAATTCTATTATTTCCGTTGAAATTTCAATTGAGATTTCAACGAAAAGTCCAACAAAAATATTCTGTTGGAATGAGTTTTCTATTGGAATTTCCGTTGGATTTTGACGATTCCAACGATGTTGAAAATAAAAATTCTAATAAAAATTTATACGGTAAAATGTCGTTGGAATCATCAAATTTCATCTTAAATTCAATGATAAACAAATTCCAACAAAATATTTTCACTGAAATTCCCGTTGGTTCCATTCCCGTTGGTTCCATTCCGTTGAAATTTCTATTGAAGTATATTACTATAGGATTTTTCGATGGAATATAACAATTTTTTTGTAGTAAAAAAAGTGGCGAAAACTGTATTTATAAATCTCTTGAGGGGCATTTTCTGAAATCACACAATTGAATTATAAAAAAAAAAGCATTTTTATAAAAACTATTATTAATTTTACTTCCACGATCGAGGTTGGATTTTATGGATGTGATAGTTTTCAATTATTTTAGAGAAGTGACAGCTATCTTTTTCACCAGGTCTATAGAGGGCTTCTTCTGCTTATGCGCGGCCGGCCACCTGCTAAATAATAGCCATAGCCGGAATAACTAAATTAATTACTTTCTACCTACAAATTAATTAATTTGATTTTAAGGTCAAACATATTAATTTCATATTTGCAAATGTTCTGAATAAATATATATATGTTTTTAATTAAGCATGGCTAGCTAAGTATGTTAAGTTATTCGAATTTCGAGCCGAACTGAAAATCTTAAATGACGATCATGTTTCTGGAAAACATTACAATCCTGTTATAGAGTCATTCCGTCAAAGTTTGTAACTGTTAGATCATCATATAACCGTTGATAATAATTAATCTAACGATTACAAATATCGACGAAATGGTCCCGTAATGAAAGTACCGTAGCATCTCCCCATGTTTCTATTATAAAGTTTTGACTCAGCTTATTTAATAAGCCAAAAGTTCAGCTCGCTCGTTTAAATTCATTTAATAACATAAAATCTTAAACCACGATCATGTTTGTGAACAAGTTAGGCTC